GTATATTTTAAATGAAGTGAGAATAAACTGACTTCGGTGGAACTTCAAGGGGCAAAAGATGTCTTATACAGCATCATGTAAAATGTATAATTGTCCCTTCATATATATATATATAATCTAACCTTTAACCTGAACTGTGGTTGGGATGACCACATTTATCTCATGTTCTTAGTTTGCAGGATTAATTGCTCAAGACAAGGTGTTGATGGTGACAACATCAGTTGATGTCACACAGACACAGGTAGACAAGGTGCTCATGGTGACAACATCAGTTGATGTCACACAGACACAGGTAGACAAGGTGCTCATGGTGACAACATCAGGTCCTGCTCCTGGGGCATGTACTGTGTAGTTGATGTCAGACAGACACAGGTAGACAAGGTGCTCATGGTGACAACATCAGGTCCTGCTCCTGGGGCATGTACTGTGTAGTTGATGTCACACAGACTCAGGTAGAACAAGCGGTTGATGGTGACAACATCAGTTGATGTCACACAGACACAGGTAGACAAGGTGCTCATGGTGACAACATCAGGTCCTGCTCCTGGGGCATGTACTGTGTAGTTGATGTCACTCAGACACAGGTAGACAAGGTGCTCATGGTGACAACATCAGTTGATGTCACACAGACACAGGTAGACAACGTGTTGATGGTGACAACATCAGGTCCTGCTCCTGGCGCATGTACTGTGTAGTTGATGTCACACAGACACAGGTAGACAAGGTGCTCATGGTGACAACATCAGATGTCACACAGACACAGGTAGACAAGGTGCTCATGGTGACAACATCAGGTCCAGCTCCTGGGGCATGTACTGTGTAGTTGATGTCAGACAGACACAGGTAGACATCAGGTCCTGCTGGTGGTGAATTCATAGCTGCATATAGAGAGTAGCACGAAGAGGTTAACTCTTTCATCTGGTCTCAGTTGGTCTGATCATTGGTTAATAATTTATCTTCATTTAGTTAAATGTCATTGCTCGTTTTGAATATTATGTCCTAGATATAGTTTACTTTACACACAATTACCAGCTCAGGGGTAGAAATAACCCATTGCCCAATGTCCGAGTCTAGTGTTGTTTTCTGTCGGGCAAGCTAATTTGTATATCATGCTGTACCGGTGTCCAGTTGACTTTCCAATGTTAATTATGATGTTATTTAAAAGATCAACAAGAAAATCGGCCAGTATAGTGGAAAAACTATCAAGGCAAGTGATTTTACATGTGCCACTGTACCGGAGTACACTAGCAATTTTAAAGTAATTTCCACCCCTGCAGCTTATAACTTCCCTTAATGACAAAGACAATATTCTTTAGTAAAATCACAGAAATGGTCCTGTATCTCCTAGACATTTCATTCTACCTCTGTCCTTGACACAATCTTCCTTTACTATCACTGACATGTTGTATTTCAGAGGCGCTGCTAATGGTTCAAACACACAATAATATTTCAATGTCACTGACAATTTATTCTTCCTATTCTTTTCATTTTGTCCTACATCCTCTTAATACTAAAGATTGTGATTTTGATGTCAGGAAAGGTCATTCATTTATCTGTCCACATTCTTATTACACGGTAGTGAGTGTACTGTTTGTAATGAACCATACACTGCTACCTCCTGCCAGCACCTCATCAACGTCAGCCAGCGTGATCACATGGTGTCAAAGTATGTCCCACAGTGTAAACTACATCTGCCTGTCTGACTTCCAGGATTAAACTTATCAAAGATTTCACTTGTGACAAAAAAGGCTTTTAACTCAAATCAAGAACAATGTTTTTAGTCCATTTTTTCCAAATTACAGGACCAGGCATCTACTCAAAGAAACGCTATCAGAAGCTTTATTTGAAATAGTCAGCTTTAAGGTTAATTCACTCTCAACCTATTTTGTCGACTCCGGAACTCCATTTCCATTCCAAATGGTGTCCCAGCGGAGACAGGACACTGCTGTGGTTGGTGAGACAGGAGGGGGTTGATAATGAACCAGAGAAAATTACCTAACAGGTTTTAATGCTGTGTTTAAACCACTAAATGACTGCTAAACCCATCGTAAACGTCACAGCAAGAACCACAAGAGAGCATGGGATCGATGCAACTACCAAGCGGTCCATTGAAGGAACACCCTCTATGTAATAAACTGCAGCTTGATGAACTAGTGATGATGAGCCATGAAACTGGTGGAGGCTTACACCAGATTTAATCACTGTTGTCTCATCATCAAATCCCATCAACAAGCCATGCTCTTTTAATCTATTCCTTTTTGCAAAATTTTCTTCCACAAAAACATTTCCTGGCAAATTTGGTTATAAAGACTTGTTTATCATGCGCAAAATAGCTTCATAGTTTCTAAATTTCTTGATTTATGGTCTTGGCAATGAGCCATTTCTGGCCTTCCTGACAATACATTTTCATTCCACATCCTCAAGGAGGAGATTATGTCATGCAGTCTTGTCAATCTCATCAGCAATTGGTTTGCAGACTCTAATGAGAGAATTACACTTACTTCAGCTGTAAGCAAAGGTACTGTAAATATATATAAGGACAGCACATAATTCAACCTGCCCTGAACATTTACACTGCCATGAAAGTATACAGTGTTGGCAACATTGGCTGTCCTGAGTCCCATGTAATACTAACAGAGGAAGTCGTGTGTGAAGAGACAACGAGGTTCAGTGTGCATCACTCAATACTGAGTCCTGGATACGGCAGATGGACATCAATAATGACCCCTTTTGAAGTACAGACATACGTTTTGGGTAATCTCATTATCTTTTGTCAGCAGGAAATGCACCCACTCATTAATATAAGTCACATCCATGTGGTTTTAAGCAACATTTGATACTGAGAGCATACAGGTACTAACAAATATTTATTTTATGGCAGAGCTTAACAAAGTTGCCAAATATGCATTGCATTTTCCACTCCAGTTCAACATAAAGAAGAGAATGAAGCTTAACACTGTTCAGAGTAAAATGTTGTATTAAGGAAAATAGAGTAAAATGTTTGTAATAATTTTGTTCAGCATCAACACTTTACACTATAAACTAATGAATAAGAAACATATGTCATAGGGTGAAACATACATGCCAAAGTTCAGCTCCCTCAGTTTAGCAATTTCTAAGAAGACGTTTAAATTTAAAGTATGAAGAGCGAAGTATGCAGTTTGAAAGAATGGCTACAACATGGTAAATGATTTACATTTTCCATAAACATAAACATAAACATATAACATAAATATAGATAAACATACACTAACACACAATGGCAGTAGTGGTGGCTACATACAGAATCAGATTCAAAGATCAGGAACAAATTCAGCATCAACATTGGCAGAAACAGGCTTCACTGGTCCAGGAGATGTTTACAATGCATTCTTAGAGTACCAGTAGCCAAAAATATTGACACCCCACTCCCTCCAAATTCTTCAAGATATACCATATATCAAGGTGTGTAAAATGACCCCGCTTACAAGCCAACCCTTGTATACACCTTCAATATCAATACTAATTTAAATGAATAGAGTGACTCATAATGCCAGTTGTCAGTACTTACATGATCCCATTATTTGCAATAGAAATGTATTTGTCTTCTGTTGTTATTCTATAAAATTCTTGGTCATGCAGAATTCCAGCACATGGCGCAATTTTGTGTGTTGACATGGTACAACACTAAATTGGTAAAATGGTAAATGGTAAAAAAACATTTATTTTAAGAACTACCAAAATAACTCTGGAAACAGTTATTTCAAATGAAATGTGAAGTTTTACTGTCAAACATCAGTGACTCGTGGATGCTGGTTGACATCGACACTTGAAAAATGATGTGAAATCTTTCAACGAATGCATGAGGCACTCCCTCTCAAAGCCCTCAAATTCTAGGTACAAAAAACTTATATGTGCTGATATGGCATGTGAACCCCACCACTAAACACACATGAGGGACATGTTCAGTGCAATAACATGTCGCACACAGCAATATTCCAGTTACTGAACACGGATGATGGCCTGTAAACAATTAAGACTGAACCAAACAATCCATCAAGTGATATTAGACGGAATGGTCCACATCACCAGCTAAGTTACCAAACCTGACCACCCAATCCATTCAGTTGCTCCTCTAGACAAGCTGTGGGGACCCATACTCCTACACGGAATGCCTATAGGGCACTCTGTAATAATTTGGTTCAGATGAAGCAATAGCAGACTTGTTTCAAACCTCTTTTCTATGTTGAAGTGAATGTTAATACAGCAAAACCCTGTCAGAATAGACACTAATATTCCCCGGATTGACAAACCAAAGCATCATAAGTTTCCAGTAATACCCTGTTATATTAATAACAAATTATCAAGTACCTATCACTCGTGGTTCTTGAAAAAAAACAAACTTTGACAATCAAGGTTCCTTTAATCTGACGTTATATCTAAAATCTGTGTTAGTAACACCTTGGGTGTAGAGTGAATAATAAACCTTTTACTCATTAGCCACAGTGAAATGTGGCTGGAAAAACTTCAAGGTAACATTTAAGATGAGGACTTTGGGTTGTGATGAGATCCAAACACTTGCCTGGCCTGGGGCCGACTCCAGGAGACTGGCAGTTTTGTTCTAGACTTCTACATGGAAGAATTCACATACACATGAAACTGACTCCAAACATTTAGCTTCAGCAGGCTATTCATGCTGTCTAATAAACTGACAAAAATTACCATGTCAAATTTTTTTTTGCATTTCAGTTTAAAAAAAAATCATGTGAGTTAGTTTATAACACTTTGGTTTTGTAAAAGTATGATTATGTGTCTGACTCTCTTTGTGATGAGCATTTCATAGCTTGATGTTGTCATCAGTGAAGCAGTATCTCCTACATGTATCATGGAATATTATCTGACATGTACAAATGTTGTGGTAACACCTATCCACTGACAGCATCAGTGACAACACAGCCATCAGCATTGCCCAACTCTCCCATCACCATCAACATAGTCATCATCTTCATCCCCAAACTTACCCAGGGCAAAGCCATCCTTGGTCCACTGTATGGATCCCTGTTTGTCTCGGACCACACAGCGGAGGAGGGCAGACTGGCCTTGTATCACAGAGGTGTTTTTTGGCACTTCACTGAACCTCTGCACAGCATACACTGAAATATAGTAAACATCAATGAAATTCACAAAATCACCAAACGCCAAAACTGTTAGAGCAGCAGTCATGCAAGTTGTTTCAGGGACTTTTACCATGATCAGCCAAACACCCTGTCTACAGCAGTTCTTCCTACCAACAAGCAGACATGGTTAGCTCATCCTTCACTGAAGCTCTGACAGAAATTTGCTATCTCAAAACACATAGCAAGATACATGATCACCAGTTCGGATGACATTGGCCATTGTGTTGCCAAAGAAAACCAAAGTTATGGCCTTGCAAATCTTGACAGATATCTATATCATTTCCCCTGGTGACATTCCAATGCGTTTCTTAACATATACATCAAACTAATGCCTCAATACATCGCTGCATATCACACGCCGCCGCAGCCTGCTGCAGTAACATAAATACCATTTCATTCCAGTTAAAACTATTTCACTCCAACCTTCAATCAGACTCAGAAGAATGCCTCTCTTTCTAAATACAACATTTTCTTTTATTGTCTGTCAATTACACAGTTGGATATCTAAGAAGTTTTTTGTCACAGAGATTGAGAAATTAACAAAACCTACAAATCAATGTAAACAGCCTTCAATGGCATTTAATCTGTCGTAATGTCGATGTCATTGAGCCGTTCATTTCACTCCTTTTCTCCAACTGTCATTGTTAAAAGCTTCTATCTGAGAGAAGACTTTTAAATACCATTCCCACTCAATTCAGTCCACAAGGTTGAAGAAATTCAATTACTGTGTGCGGAGATAGCAGTGAACATTAGCACAGGACTTCTAACACACAGCACTCTCACTATACTTTTTGTAGGTTAGACCAGGAACAGAGTACCACTCCATTCAATGTCCAGCTAGTGAATACACAGTAAATACACAATGAATACACAGAACAATGTCACGTCTTTTGCACTTTTCAAATGAGGTGATGTCCGAAAGTAATTAAAGCGAAATTTTATTTTTTTATTTGTTTGTTTCGTGAAAATGGATGCATGCATTGCTGCGTTCTAATAAAAAAAAACTTGATATTTGTACCATTTCAAAGTTGGCATGTTAACATTGTGATAATCATTTGTTCCAAGCCACAGGCTAATTGCTATGTTTTCTAGGTGAAGAAATGTCCCTAGATGCTGGTGGCACAAATGATTGGCATTTCTAATCCTATAAACTGAGTATGTGAAATAAAGGAATCTTAAACCACACATTTTAAATTCTTTTCATTTCAAAAACTATACATTTTTCACTGCCTAAAACACCTACAGAAAAAAATCTGTCCTCTAATTTCAACTATTGACACCTGCAGCAAATATTGAAAGAAACAACAAGAAAATGATGCACTAACCAAAAAAGTGTCTACATGACTTTATAAAATACAGAAGAAGTTTTAAATAAATTATTGATAATATCTCTTTTTAGATTCATTGATTTACTTAGCTGAAACAACACAACCTATAAACACTTGAATACATTTACTTCACATTTGGTTTATGTAATCAAACAAATTGTTAACCTCAAATATACAGCTTATTTGAAACAGTTAAAGAGATCTATTTAAGAAGTACAGTTCGCTTTACCACCATGTATAGTGTAATAAAGCACACATTCGCCCTGAACTATTATAGTTAAGTTATAATATTCAGGGCAGAAGTGTGATTTATTACACTATACATGGTGCAAGAGGGAAGTGTATTTCGTTTCTAAGATTCCAAATTTGATAATTTAAATCTAAGGCAGAAAACAAACAGGAAAGCGACAGTGTCAGTCACCTATATTGACAATCCTTGTCCAGGGCTAAATGACGCGCTGGTCTATCGACACGTCTGCCCCACTACGTTAAGGCGAACATTATTAGAATGACAAATGATAAACAGTTTGATGACGGTTTATGTTTGGGTTAAATATCTTCTCTAAATTATTTTAATTACATCTGTAATTAACGTAAACCATATGGGGCAATATGAGTGGCGCATTTCTACTACCAACTTAAGTTTAGATCAGTACATCCAGAAGAAACTGCCTAGTCACGTGACATTCCACGGATGTATTGTGGGAATGTAAACATTGTGAACAGTGCTGTGTTGGTGTTTAATTGTGAGTCGAACTGAGGCATTACATCCATCAAAAAATATAAACGTAATGTTTCCACCAGTGATGATAACTGGGTAAAGCAACTGCAAACCAAGAAATGGGGTGCTACAGAGAAGTTTAATGTATGAGGCTGTATGAGGCGATGGTTACAAAGGGTACGTTCGATTACGAGGGGGCAGATTAGAATGGCGCAGTGACGATAACACATTGTGACTCAGAGGTACAGATAAGCTGCGTATCTGCATAAATTACGCAAATATTTATGTGAAAACTCAATTCCTATTACGTCTGTTGCGTACAAGTACGCTTGTATTTTTGTAAATACTCAATAAATTTGATTGTACATGCGTACACAGAAAACTTTCAAATCTTAGCTTGCGTACCAGTGGATAGATAAAGCAACTGAGGTATATTTAGAGGTTCTATTTCGGCACATGAACACTCAACTAGCAGTCTTTCATATCGTTTCTCATATTACAGATCAAATATAAATAACAAACACTAACATTTTAACTTTATTATATTTTAACAATTAATGGAAAAAGGCAAAATACCCAATTGATTTTGAGTGAGGTGAGTACAATTAGTTTGGTTACTCAAAGGAAAATTAGGATACCCAATTGAGATGAAGACAAGCGGGTACATAACTCAATGACCCAAAAAGTTATCTGTAGCTCTGGTGACTTAATGCAAACAGTGTACATTATTGTCTGATAAAGTACTGTCGGCGCTTTGATCATTCAGCGAAGCATCTTAAAACCTGTAATAATCAAGCCAAAAAGAGGCTGAAGGAAATCAAAAGCTACTTAGTCACTTCCACAGTCTTCATGAAAGAATTTATAAGTTTTAATTTCATATAATTAAGCCAACTGAATTCTGAAACCTGATTCCAAGTCAGACTGGAAACAAATCCTATATATATCAAAATTATATATAAAATAACATAAAAAGCTCTAATGCCACATTAGGCAATGTTTACTTTTCATATACATATACAAGTGAATTAATTTCTGATGGGATCTGGGGAGGTGGGGAAGCCTAGAGGTTAAAGTGTTTATTTATCACGCCGAAGATTTGGGTTCGATTCCCTACGTGATGGGTGCAATGTGTGAAGCCCATTGTGTCCCCCTCAGTGATATTGTTGGAATATTGCTAAAAGCTGCGTAAAACCAAACTCACTCACTTTTACTAAAACAATAAATGATTTGCTTTGATGCATGTCAGGTATTATAAGGCACATTCTGATGGTAAATGATACTGTTTGCTGTATATCTGATAGTATGGCAGTCCATAACCCACACAAGCATAGCACAATCTCAACACAGATTCTGTATTTTGAAAGAAAACCTGGAGTCATAGGATTCAGATTAAGGCTTAGATTGGACTCAGAGCAAGTGGCATAAAGGAATCAATCAGAGGCTAACACTGGATTCAGACCAAGGCTTGTACAGGATTCAGGCTAAGCCTAATTTAGGGCTCACACCAAGGCTTCCCGACTGGGGCTTCTAAACACGGAGGTCATTCCCCTGTTTCAAATAGCTGTAGCTAGTGGCTGAGCAGATTCTCATTCAGCAATCTTGTCAAACATTGGATCTGAAACTGAACTCAGTCTGCTGCAATATTTGTGCAATTCTGTCACTGCGCTAGACCCATCACAAATCAGGAGGCATTGATCACACTGAGCCTATGTTTAACAATCACAACAGAATAAAAACACAGCATTTCATGCTTGTCAAATCCATCATGGACAATATCCTAGCCGTCAAAAGCAAAATCCAAAGTTGAAGGTGTCAATAGTCTCACCAGTGTTTGACGTTCACGTTGTGTGGACAAACAAACTGAAAATGCTGAAACTTCTGATAAACAGATTTGCATGTTTAATATCTATTTGATTTTGATGTTAACGTTTTGTGAGCCTGGATAGTTTGACACTGGGTCTGCTACTGGTATCATCAACACTACAGTACTGCTCATCCAAATATAATACTATTTAATCAACAACATATCCAAAATGAATGGGAGACTGCTTGGATCTAATGGTCTGATACTATCTTCTTGCTAATGAAGTCTACAGACTCTACATACAGCATACTCAAAACTCAAAAAACAATTTCTAGGACGCAACAACTCATAAAAGTTTCTGAGCAAACAAAATATCATTTTGAGTCCATGAAAAAACAAATGGTGATGGAATACAGTTGAAATGGCAATGAAGCCATACTACAGTTTCTGCGATACAAGTAAAGTAGCATTATTGACTCACACATACATCAAAGCATAATGCTGGATGGAAATGGGGCTAGTTTGTGAACTAATTGTCTTAGATAGTGTTTTATGTTGTAACATGAGGTAACCACTTGGCAACTTCATGATATGGACACAAGTTTTTATGTTGGTCACATTAGCAGTGAATACTGAAATGCCCATCAAACAAGAGGCTTGGAATATTTTTGTAGGCAATGAGAAAAAATACATCTATGTGTCTTGTATGTTTTTGTGATTAGGAGTGTGGTAGAATAGTTCACATGGTTAATAACATTACAAAATGAATTATGGTACAAATAATTATGCATAAAGTTTCTGAAACATCCTAGATGTTTGTTTGTTGTTACAGCTAGACTAGAAGAACTTGTGATTAACATCAGGAACATCAATCTATGCAATTGGGACACAATGTTGTGTGTACCATCTTCTGACAAGCATAGTTGCCTCTTACAACAAGCAGATCTTAAAGAGTCAAATGCAAGTATGTGTGCTTGATTCCAGCAATACCTTAACAAATTCTACAGCATACTTAATAACTGAACAGTCGGCTGGATACAGTTTTGGAAATGATGTTGGTTTTTTTCATTTCTTTCATGTTAGTAAATTTTCATTATTTTTTTTTACTATGCATTGGGCAATA